ATCTTACTTCCATGTCACCAGTACATCCATCTTACTTCCATGTCACTCTGTACATCCATCTTACTTCCACGTGACCAGTACATCCATCTTACTTCGATGTCACTCTGTACATCCATCTTACTTCCATGTCACTCTGTACATCCATCTTACTTCCATGTCACCAGTACATCCATCTTACTTCCATGTCACTCTGTACATCCATCTTACTTCCACGTGACCAGTACATCCATCTTACTTCCATGTCACCAGTACATCCATCTTACTTCCATGTAACCCAGTACATCCATCTTACTTCCATGTCACTCTGTACATCCATCTTACTTCCACGTGACCAGTACATCCATCTTCCTTCCATGTCACTCTGTACATCCATCTTACTTCCATGTCACTCTGTACATCCATCTTACTTCCATGTCACCAGTACATCCATCTTACTTCCATGTCACTCTGTACATCCATCTTACTTCCACGTGACCAGTACATCCATCTTACTTCCATGTCACCAGTACATCCATCTTACTTCCATGTAACCCAGTACATCCATCTTACTTCCATGTCACTCTGTACATCCATCTTACTTCCATGTAACCCAGTACATCCATCTTACTTCCATGTCACCAGTACATCCATCTTATTTCCATGTCACTCTGTACATCCATCTTCCTTCCATGTCACTCTGTACATCCATCTTACTTCCATGTCACTCTGTACATCCATCTTACTTCCATGTCACCAGTACATCCATCTTACTTCCATGTCACTCTGTACATCCATCTTACTTCCACGTGACCAGTACATCCATCTTACTTCCATGTCACCAGTACATCCATCTTACTTCCATGTAACCCAGTACATCCATCTTACTTCCATGTCACTCTGTACATCCATCTTACTTCCATGTAACCCAGTACATCCATCTTACTTCCATGTCACCAGTACATCCATCTTATTTCCATGTCACTCTGTACATCCATCTTACTTCCATATCACTCTGTACATCCATCTTACTTCCATGTCACCAGTACATCCATCTTATTTCCATGTCACTCTGTACATCCATCTTACTTCCATGCCACCAGTACATCCATCTTACTTCCATGTCACCAGTACATCCATCTTACTTCCATGTCACTCTGTACATCCATCTTATTTCCATGTCACTCTGTACATCCATCTTACTTCCATGCCACCAGTACATCCATCTTACTTCCATGTCACCAGTACATCCATCTTACTTCCATGTCACTCTGTACATCCATCTTACTTCCATGTCACTCTGTACATCCATCTTACTTCCATGTCACTCTGTCCATCCATCTTACTTCCATGTCACCCAGTACATCCATCTTACTTCCATGTCACTCTGTACATCCATCTTACTTCCATGTAACCCAGTACATCCATCTTACTTCCGTGTAACCCAGTACATCCATCTTACTTCCATGTCACTCTGTACATCCATCTTACTTCCATGTCACCCAGTACATCCATCTTACTTCCATGTCACTCTGTACATCCATCTTACTTCCATGTCACTCTGTACATCCATCTTACTTCATATAGTGCCAGGATGTAGCTGGCAACTGCTCTGTTTGACATTGTGTTGTGTCATGTAGTGCATGTTTGACATTGTGTTGTGCCATGTAGTGCATGTTTGACATTGTGTTGTGCCATGTAGTGCATGTTTGACATTGTGTTGTGCCATGTAGTGCATGTTTGACATTGTGTTGTGCCATGTAGGGCATGTTTGACATTGTGTTGTGCCATGTAGTGCATGTTTGACATTGTGTTGTGCCATGTAGTGCATGTTTAACATTGTGTTGTGCCATGTAGTGCATGTTTGACATTGTGTTGTGCCATGTAGTGCATGTTTGACATTGTGTTGTGTCATGTAGTGCATGTTTGACATGGTGTTGTGCCATGTAGTGCATGTTTGACATTGTGTTGTGCCATGTAGTGCATGTTTGACATTGCGTTGTACCATGTAGGGCATGTTTGACATTGTGTTGTGCCATGTAGTGCATGTTTGACATTGTGTTGTGCCATGTAGTGCATGTTTGACATTGTGCCATGTAGTGCATGTTTGACATTGTGTTGTGCCATGTAGTGCATGTTTGACATTGTGTTGTGCCATGTTTTACATTGTGTTGTGCCATGTAGTGCATGTTTGACATTGTGTTGTGCCATGTAGTGCATGTTTGACATTGTGTTGTGCCATGTAGTGCATGTTTGACAGTGTTGTGCCATGTAGTGCATGTTTGACATTGTGTTGTGCCATGTAGTGCATGTTTGACAGTGTTGTGCCATGTAGTGCATGTTTGACATTGTGTTGTGCCATGTAGTGCATGTTTGACATTGTGTTGTGCCATGTAGTGCATGTTTGACATTGCGTTGTGCCATGTAGTGCATGTTTGACATTGTGTTGTGCCATGTAGTGCATGTTTGACATTGTGTTGTGCCATGTTTTACATTGTGTTTGGCCATGTAGTGCATGTTTGACATTGTGTTGTGCCATGTAGTGCATGTTTGACATTGTGTTGTGCCATGTAGTGCATGTTTGACATTGCGTTGTGCCATGTAGTGCATGTTTGACATTGTGTTGTGCCATGTAGTGCATGTTTGACATTGTGTTGTGCCATGTTTTACATTGTGTTGTGCTATGTAGTGCATGTTTGACATTGTGTTGTGCCATGTAGTGCATGTTTGACATTGCGTTGTGCCATGTAGTGCATGTTTGACATTGTGTTTGGCCATGTAGTGCATGTTTGACATTGTGTTGTGTCATGTAGTGCATGTTTGACATTGTGTTGTGCCATGTAGTGCATGTTTGACATTGTGTTGTGCCATGTAGTGCATGTTTGACATTGTGTTGTGCCATGTAGTGCATGTTTGACATTGTGTTGTGCCATGTTTGACATTGTGTTGTGCCATGTAGTGCATGTTTGACATTGTGTTGTGCCATGTAGTGCATGTTTGACATTGTGTTGTGCCATGTAGTGCATGTTTGACATTGTGTTGTGCCATGTAGTGCATGTTTGACATTGTGTTGTGCCATGTAGTGGATGTTTGACAGTGTTGTGCCATGTAGTGCATGTTTGACATTGTGTTGTGTCATGTAGTGCATGTTTGACATTGTGTTGTGCCATGTAGTGCATGTTTGACATTTTGTTGTGCCATGTAGTGCATGTTTGACATTGTGTTGTGCCATGTAGGGCATGTAACAATAAACCTAGTCATTTGTACATGTTAAATATTTTATTGGCCAATAATAAATCCCATACATTAAACTTACACAATACAAATATGAAAAATGTATATATAACAGGATTCAGTTCTCCTCAAACCTCTGACAAGTTATGACATATACTGTTGTCTGATTCTCTATGTCTCAATCATAAAACAAAAATTGTATCAATAAAAAATATTCATTTTTTTACAGATGTGAATCTTCAGAAGGTCAACTCAGCATACAGATCAGAACTGACACACTGGGAATATTTGTCGGAGTTTGAAATGCATCTCCAGCTGTCTGAGACAGCCGCCATTATCGCGGAAGCAGTGGGAAAGATGTGCCAATATTATTAACTTGGATGCTGGATGATATGACATGTCTCATCCTCCACACATACTAGTTAAGCAACATCAGTAAAGGTTATTCAGGGTGTGGCTTAGGACACAGACAAACATGAGGCATGACTGGGTTTTTTGGTCACTTATATATTCTTATCAATTCTGGAAAGGAATCATTTTGCTATAAACAGTATTTTTCATGTATATATTGATTGTCAGTGAACTGAGTCACTATCTGATGGACCTAGTGCCACCATACAAGGGCGGATGCAGCAGTTTTAAAAGGGAGGGGTCCAAAATATCAAAATCTTCTCTCGGATAATTTTAATGCCAACAATATACCACATTTGGTTTTCAAAAGGGTAGGCCGGACCCCCAGGACCCCCAGGACCCCCACTCTGGATCCGTCGATGCCATATACCCAGACCTGTACAAACTAAACTTGCCACACCAGTAGTTAACTAAGAATCTGGTTCTAGTTTCACATATTTGTCACTAGTCATTCTTACCAGAGTGCAAGCAGGTGAAGTTGACCAAACACACGTCACAAAGAACAATGACCGCTTGAGTCTGTAAAACACGGCCAGATCACCAGGTAGGAATCCTTGTATCCGTATGTTGATTTTACATGCAGGTAAAACAGCTTCGCCTTAGTGACAGAAAGTTTCAAGTGGCATAACTCTTTTTTTTATGATACGATTGGTTTTTCAATTTAAATATGTATTTTATCATTTCGTGTTTTAAATTTTTTAGATTAGCATTGTAGAATTTTGCATTTCATTTTGTACATAACAAATGTCAGTATTCGCACATTTTGAGCTTTTTTAGAAATGCAGGCCTCAAAGTTGAATTTTTGACCAAGTAGCCACATGACAAAAAACAAGTTTGTCCAGGAGGCCTCTTTCTTTATTAAAATTGAAACTACCAACTGCAATGTTGTCAAGAAAAAGCTGAAAGGTCTACATATGTCAGAAGATCATAAACTTAATAAAAAAAAAAAACTTGCACTGCTGCATGGAGCTATCAAATTGTTCCTTGACACAGATAATGAGTGGAGTTAAACGAGTTTCATTGAGATTAGGAAACTGGAGATTGTGAAAAAGTTGGAGCAAATGTCAATCAAGTTTTGTTTACGCCCAAAATCCATATTTCATCCACCTGGATCCACAGTCTGCATTTTTTTAAACAGTAAACAGGTCTTTATACCCCTGGCTCTACAACCTATTCCAACCTAAATGAGTGAGTGAGTGAGTATATATATGTAGTGGGACAAGAGTGTGTTTTTGTATCTCTCACGCTTTTTCATTGCTTCGGAACCAGCTTTCATGTGAGGATCACTCATCATTCCTGATTCCCTGCCTAGCCCATCATGGAAGCTTGACCACTGTCGCCACTGGGTGAATATATATATACTTCTCATGGACTTTTGCTATCACCACTGTATGTGTGTATTTGACACTGACCACTATCAACATATTATATATTGCCATTGAATATTGTACTGCCACTCTATTGTGTACTGCCATTGTAATTGTTGTGCAGTAATTTGTATTAATTTGTAAACTAAGGTGAATTCTGTAATACATTTTTTAGTTGTATACCACTTGTCGGTTGTTTGATGGTTTCACACTAAGTTCTTTTACAGACAGATTTCTGGGTTAACATATTGTTTCATTTGGGAAATTGACACGTAACAATATATTGCAATTACATCCTGGCAGGGGGAGACACCAATTACAGGCCGAGACATCAGAGATCATCTGAGACGGGTTCCACAGAGACACCATGTACAGACTTCTCACACTCTTCTCATTGAACCAGGGCCCAGTGCTTCATGGTCCCTGCCCACTAAACCATCGCTTGTCCCACACATCATGAACACACGCAAACACACTACACTTCCTGTGGCTGTAACCATGATGACTCAGCATCACAGTGGTGAAGAAGGTGAAAAAGGCAGTACCAGTCTCGTGAGGATCTTCCCTAGGAGTTTTGTGCTGCGAAGTCCATAGCTTCTCTTAATCTGGCCCGGCTGAAACCAATACAATTTTGTTTGATTTTGATTGTTTCTTAATGCAACACTCAGCAATATTCCAGCTATATGATGGTGGTCTGTAAATAATCGAGTCTGGCCTAGACAATCAAATGATTGATATCAAAAGCATCGATCCACGCAATTGGGCTACAATGACATACATCAAACAAGTCAGCAAACCTGATCACCCGATCTCATTAGTTACCTCTTACAACAAGCATAGTCGCCACTCACGACAAAGCATAGTCACCTCTCCCGACAAGCATAGTCACCTCTCCTCACAAGCATAGTCGCCACTCACGACAAAGCATAGTCACCTCTCCCGACAAGCAAAGTCGCCACTCACGACAAAGCATAGTCACCTCTCCCAACAAGCATAGTCGCCACTCACGACAAAGCATAGTCACCTCTCCCAACAAGCATAGTCGCCACTCACGACAAAGCATAGTCACCTCTCCTGACAAGCATGACTTACCGAAGACCTATTCTAACCCGGATCTTCACGGGTCTACAAGTGTGACTGGGGCTTGATCTGGTAGTACAACTGATACCATAGTTGTACAATGTCACATGCAAAACATTGCATACATTTGCAACATGTTTTGCACACAGATGAATTGTTGCTGTATGAAGTTCTGCCCAGAAAGCTGTTCAGTTATCAATGAATGTTCACAGATTGCTGTAGTTATTGAAATTATCTTCATGTCAGAATCTTTTTGATATCACATTACAACATCAGAGAAGTGAGTTAACAGAGATGCACAGGTGTCACTCCACCAAGTGTCACGGATCTGCATCCCACCATTGTGCTAACAAGCATGATATACTAAGAAAATTTTCAAAAATCCAAAACTATCAAAAGGCACCAATTTACTACTTGATCTATCTATGTGCCTAGTTTGGTGAAGAAATATTGTCCGGTTTTAAAGGTCTGCTACCGACATTTTTTTAGTCTAAGTCAAAGTTGTTGCCATGGAAATAAATTAATTTTCCAATCACTGTTTGACCGGCATTCAAGTTGTTGAGTAAATAAGAAAACGTACAACTTCATGGATAACAACTTCTGGTTTATTGCACATAGCAACGTTTCAATGAAGATTCTTACACTGTTATCAATTTTCTGCAGGAACTAAAATTGTTACAGATTAATTAAATCAAGAAGTTCCAAGCACCAGGCAGATATGTTCCCTGGTCACGGCTCATCTCTGGCTGATATCTCCTGATGTCAATGGCCTCTTCTTGTAGTTTGCTTTTATGCCAGTTGTTGGTGGTGACTTATTAGTGTAATTAATCTGTGCCACTTTATCCCACTTGTCCATTGCTGATTACCAATCAGTGCTAATTAACCCCTGTCTTCTATTTGTCCATTGCTGATTACCAATCAGTGCTCATTAACCCCTGTCTTCTATTTGTCCAATCACCTGTGACCCTTAATTAATTGTTGTTAATATCCACCATTGTTATTACTTGTGTTGTTCTTACATGTACATGCATATGCTCTCTGCCTCATAGCATTCATTCACCTGATGAAGGAGTAAGCATATACTCCGAAACGTTGTGTTCCTCAAAATAGAGAATTTGACATCCATAAATTCTCTCTCTTATCAATTCTAAATTCCATTGAAAGACTAGTTTCAGTACCTTAAGCAATTTCAGTAAATTACGTAGTTTCAGTAAATTACGAAGTTTCAGTAAATTAAGTAGTTTCAGTATAGAGAGTAGTTTCAGTAAATTAAGTAGTGTCAGTAGATTAAGTAGTTTCAGTAAATTAAGTAGTTTCAGTAAATTAAGTAGTTTCAGTAGATTAAGTAGTTTCAGTAGATTAAGTAGTTTCAGTATAATAAGTAGTTTCAGTAAATTAAGTAGTTTCAGTATGGAGAGTAGTTTCAGTATAGAGAGTAGTTTCAGTAGATTAAGTAGTTTCAGTAAATTAAGTAGTTTCAGTAAATTAAGTAGTTTCAGTATAGAGAGGAGTTTCAGTATAGAGAGTAGTTTCAGTAGATTAAGTAGTTTCAGTAAATTAAGTAGTTTCAGAAAATTAAGTAGTTTCAGTATAGAGAGTAGTTTCAGTAAATTAAGTAGTTTCAGTAGATTAAGTAGTTTCAGTACTTTAAGTAGTTTCAGTATATTAGTGAGTGAGTGAGTTGGTTTAACACCGCTTTTAACAGAATTCCAGTTATATCAAGGCGTGACAGCTTAATGTGGGAGGAAAGCCCAAAGTGATGCAGGTCTCAGACTTTTACGACTTCGGTGAACCCCATGAGCATGGGTATGGTGCTGACAAACCTAGAAACATAATCGGGGCGAACCTGGATTCAAACCAACAATCATAGATTTCTGGCATGCCAAAGGGACGCAACTCTGCACAGTGAATCGCGGCGCCTAAGACGGCTAGACCAGATGTGCCGCCCTTCAGGATATTAAGTAGTGTCAGTAGATTAAGCAGTTTCAGTAAATTAAGTAGTTTCAGTAAATTAAGTAGTTTCAGTATTTTAAGTAGTTTCAGTAGGTATGGTGTTCTGGTGGGCTACAGTGTTTCTTGACACATACCTTCTACTGGCTGGGCGGCTGCTGGTGGGGGACAGGAGACTAGACGAGACGGACGTCGACTCAGGCAGAGACAGCGGCAGTGTCTCACACGTACTTCGCAGGGACTCAAACCTTGGGAACATATTGGATGCTCATTGAGGAAGTTTTTCATAAAATACAACTGTCTCACGACTATCTTGCATGCATTTAATTAAGGAAGAGAATTTATGTGCATCACTTCTAAATGCTTTTCAAAGACATGTATTTAATTTCAACAATATGTAGTTAGGAAGACATCCTCCAACTGGTGGATTTGAGTTGACCTACTTGTCTGCAATACTCTTCTCCAGAGACTTCAGCTCCTCAGCATACGCCTTGAGCTGTGTGTCCATCTGCCGGACACTGACAACTGGAATACAATGTGTGTAACAGTCTTATCAATGTCAATACAATACATGAAAAAATGTTATCAAGTTACATACAATACAAATACAATATGTGTACCAGTGTTATCAACACAACATGTGTAACGTTATCGCCTTTGCATACACATACATCTCTTCGCCCCTGATACTCTCAGCAACATACATCTCTGTGCCCCTGATACTCTCAGCAACATACATCTCTGTGCCCCTGATACTCTCAGCAACATACATCTCTGTGCCCCTGATACTCTCAGCAACATACATCTCTGTGCCCCTGATACTCTCAGCAACATACATCTCTGTGCCCCTGATACTCTCAGCAACATACATCTCTGTGCCCCTGATACTCTCAGCAACATACATCTCTTTGCCCCTGATACTCTCAGCAACATACATCTCTTTGCCTCCATACTCTCAGCAACATACATCTCTTTGCCCCTGATACTCTCAGCAACAAACATCTCTGTGCCCCTGATACTCTCAGCAACATACATCTCTGTGCCCCTGATACTCTCAGCAACATACATCTCTGTACCCCTGATACTCTCAGCAACATACATCTCTGTGCCCCTGATACTCTCAGCAACATACATCTCTTTGCCCCTGATACTCTCAGCAACATACATCTCTTTGCCCCTGATACTCTCAGCAACATACATCTCTTTGCCTCCATACTCTCAGCAACATACATCTCTTTGCCCCTGATACTCTCAGCAACATACATCTCTGTGCCCCTGATACTCTCAGCAACATACATCTCTGTGCCCCTGATACTCTCAGCAACATACATCTCTGTACCCCTGATACTCTCAGCAACATACATCTCTGTGCCCCTGATACTCTCAGCAACATACATCTCTTTGCCTCTGATACTCTCAGCAGCAAACATCTCTGTGCCCCTGATACTCTCAGCAACATACATCTCTGTGCCCCTTATACTCTCAGCAACATACAGCTCTTTGCCTCTGATACTCTCAGCAGCAAACATCTCTTTGCCCCTGATACTCTCAGCAGCAAACTTCTCTTTGCCCCTTATACTCTCAGCAGCATACATCTCTTTGCCCCTGATACTCTCAGCAGCATACATCTCTGTGCCCCTGATACTCTCAGCAGCATACATCTCTGTGCCCCTGATACTCTCAGCAACATACATCTCTTTGCCTCTGATACTCTAAGCAACATACATCTCTTTGCCTCCATACTCTCAGCAACATACATCTCTGTGCCTCCATACTCTCAGCAGCATACATCTCTGTGCCCCTGATACTCTCAGCAACATACATCTCTTTGCCTCTGATACTCTCAGCAACATACATCTCTTTGCCTCCATACTCTCAGCAACATACATCTCTGTGCATCCATACCCTCAGCAACATACATCTCTTTGCCTCCATACTCTCAGCAACATACATCTCTTTGCCTCCATACTCTCAGCAACATACATTTCTGTGCCCCTGGTACTCTCAGCAACATACATCTCTTTGCCTCCATACTCTCAGCAACATACATCTCTTCTTGAATATTCCAGTAAATTCCTGATGTACTTACTACTGGATGCAGACATTGGTCGCATCAGCGGAGCAGACTTCATACTCTGGCGCTTCACATGTGCCTGAAATATGCCAAATACAAGAAATTATTGTCAAAGCAGAGTTAAACAGGAATAACGATGGTTGGTAATTACAGACCTACTTCAAATTCAAATCTGACCAAAGTCCCACGTTGACTTATTGTGATGGCACCAGTAACTGTTTTTTACAACACAGGAGGTGAACCTACCCCATCCACGACCTCAATGTGGGGCAGGACTGTCTGTATCGTGTAGTGGTAGTGAGGCATTTCTCCATCTTCCATCGTCACAGGGTTTCCACTCAGGGAGATCTCTACCAGCTCCTTCATAGTTTCCAGGTCACACTGGAACACACAGACACACATGGAAGTGTGAGGGAGATCACACAGACACACATGGAAGTGTGAGGGAGAACACACGTACACACATGGAAGTGAGAGGGAGATCACACAGACACACATGGAAGTGTGAGGGAGAACACACAGACACACATACACACATTGAAGTGTGAGGGAGATCACACAGACACACATGGAAGTGTGAGGGAGATCACACAGACACACATTGAAGTGTGAGGGAGATCACACATACACACATTGAAGTGTGAGGGAGATCACACATACACACATGGAAGTGTGAGGGAGAACACACAGACACACATTGAAGTGTGAGGGAGATCACACAGACACACATGGAAGTGTGAGGGAGAACACACAGACACACATTGAAGTGTGAGGGAGATCACACATACACACATACACACATTGAAGTGTGAGGGAGATCACACAGACACACATGGAAGTGTGAGGGAGAACACACATACACACATGGAAGTGTGAGGGAGAACACACAGACACACATGGAAGTGTGAGGGAGAACACACAGACACACATACACACATGGAAGTGTGAGGGAGATCTCTACCAGCTCCTTCATAGTCCCCAGGTCACACTAGAACAAACATACACACATGGAAGTGAGAGGGAGAACACACAGACACACATGGAAGTGTGAGGGTAATCACACATACACACATGGAAGTGAGAGGGAGAACACACAGACACACATGGAAGTGTGAGGGAGAACACACGGACACACATGGAAGTGTGAGGGAGATCACACAGACACACATGGAAGTGTGAGGGAGAACACACATACACAATTGGAAGTGTGAGGGAGATCACACAGACACACATGGAAGTGTGAGGAAGAACACACATACACAATTGGAAGTGTGAGGGAGATCACACAGACACACAGGGAAGTGTGAGGGAGATCACACAGACACACATGGAAGTGTGAGGGAGATCACACATACACACATGGAAGTGTGAGGGAGAACACACAGACACACAGGGAAGTGTGAGGGAGAACACACAGACACGCATGGAAGTGTGAGGGAGATCACACATACACACATGGAAGTGTGAGGGAGAACACACATCCACACAGACACACATGGAAGTATGAGGGAGATCACACAGACACACATGGAAGTATCAGGGAGAACACACAGACACACATGGAAGTGTGAGGGAGAACACACGGACACACATGGAAGTGTGAGGGAGATCACACAGACACACATGGAAGTGTTAGGGAGAACACACATACACAATTGGAAGTGTGAGGGAGATCACACAGACACACATGGAAGTGTGAGGGAGAACACACATACACAATTGGAAGTGTGAGGGAGATCACACAGACACACAGGGAAGTGTGAGGGAGATCACACAGACACACATGGAAGTGTGAGGGAGATCACACATACACACATGGAAGTGTGAGGGAGAACACACAGACACACAGGGAAGTGTGAGGGAGATCACACAGACACACATGGAAGTGTGAGGGAGATCACACATACACACATGGAAGTGTGAGGGAGAACACACATCCACACAGACACACATGGAAGTATGAGGGAGATCACACAGACACACATGGAAGTATGAGGGAGATCACACAGACACACATTGAAATGTGAGGGAGAACACGCATACACACACGGAAGTGTGAGGGAGATCACACAGACACACATGGAAGTGTGAGGGAGAACACACATACACAATTGGAAGTGTGAGGGAGATCACACAGACACACATTGAAGTGTGAGGGAGAACACACGTACACACATTGAAGTGTGAGGGAGATCACACAGACACACATGGAAGTGTGAGGGAGAACACACTTACACACATGGAAGTGTGAGGGAGATCACACAGACACACATGGAAGTGTGAGGGAGATCACACAGACACACATGGAAGTGTGAGGGAGATCACACAGACACACATGGAAGTGTGAGGGAGATCACACAGACACACATGGAAGTGTGAGGGAGATCACACAGACACACATGGAAGTGTGAGGGAGATCACACAGACACACATGGAAGTGTGAGGGAGATCACACAGACACACATCGAAGTGTGAGGGAGATCACACAGACACACATGGAAGTGTGAGGGAGATCACACAGACACACATGGAAGTGTGAGGGAGATCACACAGACACACATGGAAGTGTGAGGGAGATCACACAGACACACATGGAAGTATGAGGGAGATCACACAGACACACATCAAAGTGTGAGGGAGATCACACAGACACACATGGAAGTGTGAGGGAGATCACACAGACACACATGGAAGTATGAGGGAGATCACACAGACACACATCGAAGTGTGAGGGAGATCACACAGACACACATCGAAGTGTGAGGGAGATCACACAGACACACATGGAAGTGTGAGGGAGATCACACAGACACACATGGAAGTGTGAGGGAGATCACACAGACACACATGGAAGTGTGAGGGAGATCACACAGACACACATGGAAGTGTGAGGGAGATCACACGTACACACATCGAAGTGTGAGGGAGATCACACAGACACACATCGAAGTGTGAGGGAGATCACACAGACACACATCGAAGTGTGAGGGAGATCACACAGACACACATGGAAGTGAGAGGGAGAACACACAGACACACATGGAAGTGTGAGGGAGATCACACAGACACACATGGAAGTGAGAGGGAGAACACACGTACACACATGGAAGTGTGAGGGAGAACACACAGACACACATTGAAGTGTGAGGGAGATCACACAGACACACATTGAAGTGTGAGGGAGAACACACATACACACATGGATGTGTGAGGGAGAAAACACGTACACAAATGGAAGTGTGAGGGAGAACACACAGATACACATGGAAGTGTGAGGGAGATCACACAGACACACATCGAAGTGTGAGGGAGATCACACAGACACACATCGAAGTGTGAGGGAGATCACACAGACACACATGGAAGTGTGAGGGAGATCACACAGACACACATGGAAGTGTGAGGGAGATCACACAGACACACATGGAAGTGTGAGGGAGATCACACAGACACACATGGAAGTGTGAGGGAGATCACACGTACACACATCGAAGTGTGAGGGAGATCACACAGACACACATCGAAGTGTGAGGGAGATCACACAGACACACATCGAAGTGTGAGGGAGATCACACAGACACACATGGAAGTGAGAGGGAGAACACACAGACACACATGGAAGTGTGAGGGAGATCACACAGACACACATGGAAGTGAGAGGGAGAACACACGTACACACATGGAAGTGTGAGGGAGAACACACAGACACACATTGAAGTGTGAGGGAGATCACACAGACACACATTGAAGTGTGAGGGAGAACACACATACACACATGGATGTGTGAGGGAGAAAACACGTACACAAATGGAAGTGTGAGGGAGAACACACAGATACACATGGAAGTGTGAGGGAGATCACACAGACACACATTGACGTGTGAGGGAGATCACACAGACACACATTGAAGTGTGAAGGAGAACACACAGACACACATGGTAGTGAGAGGGAGATCACACAGACACACATTGAAGTGTGAGGGAGAACACACATCCACACATGCAAGTGTGAGGGAGAACACACGTACACACATGGAAGTGTGAGGGAGAACACACATACACACATTGAAGTGTGAGGGAGAACACACATACACACATGGAAGTGTGAGGGAGAACACACATACACACATTGAAGTGTGAGGGAGAACACACAAACACACATGGAAGTGTGAGGGAGATCACACAGACACACATGGAAGTGAGAGGGAGAACACACGTACACACATGGAAGTGTGAGGGAGATCACACAGACACACATCAAAGTGTGAGGGAGATCACACAGACACACATGGAAGTGTGAGGGAGATCACACAGACACACATGGAAGTGAGAGGGAGAACACACAGACACACATGGAAGTGTGAGGGAGAACACACAGACACACATGGAAGTGTGAGGGAGATCACACAGACACACATTGAAGTGTGAGGGAGAACACACATACACACATGGAAGTGTGAGGGAGATCACACAGACACACATGGAAGTGAGAGGGAGAACACACATACACACATTGAAGTGTGAGGCAGATCACACAGACACACATTGAAGTGTGAGGGAGATCACACAGACACACATGGAAGTGAGAGGGAGAACACACAGACACACATTGAAGTGTGAGGGAGATCACACGTACACACATGGAAGTATGAGGGAGAACACACAGACACACATGGAAGTGTGAGGGAGATCACACAGACACACAGGGAAGTGAGAGGGAGAACACACGTACACACATGGAAGTGTGAGGGAGATCACACAGACACACATGGAAGTGAGAGGGAGAACACACAGACACACATTGAAGTGTGAGGCAGATCACACAGACACACATTGAAGTGTGAGGGAGATCACACAGACACACATTGAAGTGTGAGGGAGATCACACAGACACACATTGAAGTCTGAGGCAGATCACACGTACACACATGGAAGTGTGAGGGAGATCACACAGACACACATTGAAGTGTGAGGCAGATCACACGTACACACATGGAAGTGTGAGGGAGAACACACATACACACATGGAAGTGTGAGGGAGAACACACAGACACACATGGTAGTGAGAGGGAGATCACACAGACACACATTGAAGTGTGAGGGAGAACACACAGACACACATGGAAGTGTGAGGGATATCACACATACACACATGGAATTATGAGGGAGAACACACGTACACACATTGAAGTGTGAGGGAGAACACACATACACACATTGAAGTGTAAGGGAGAACACACAGACACACATGGAAGTGAGAGGGAGAACACACAGACACACATGGTAGTGAGAGGGAGATCACACAGACACACATGGAAGTGAGAGGGGGAACACACGTACACACATTGAAGTGTGAGGGAGAACACACATACACACACACAGACACACATGGAAGTGTGAGGGAGAATACACAGACACACATGGAAGTGTGAGGGAGAACACACAGACACACATGGTAGTGAGAGGGAGATCACACAGACACACATTGAAGTGTGAGGGAGAACACACATACACACATGGAAGTATGAGGGAGAACACACGTACACACATTGAAGTGTGAGGGAGAACACACATACACACATTGAAGTGTGAGGGAGAACACACAGACACACATTGAAGTGTGAGGGAGAACACACAGACACACATGGAAGTGAGAGGGGGAACACATGTACACACATGGAAGTGTGAAGGAAAACACACATTGCAGTGAGATAGGTAAATCAGGTGCCTATGTGAGTTAGGTGAGTCTAGTGAGGCAGGTGAGGCTGGTGAGGCAGGTTAGTCTGGTGTGAGGTGAATCAAGGGAGTCTGGTAAGTTTGGCGAGTCTGGTGTCAGGTGAGTCTGATGTCTGGTGGGTCCGGTGAAACAGGTATGTCAGTGAGTCAGACGAGGCTGGTGAGGCAGGTGAGGCAGGTGAGTCTAGTGAGTCTGGTGTGAGGTGAGTAAGGTGAGGCTTGTAAGTTTGGTGGGTCTAGTGTCAGGTGAGTCTGATGTCTGGTGGGTCTGGTGAGTCAAGTGCCCAGGTGAGTCTGGCATCTGGTGAGTCTGATGTCTGGTGAGTCAAGTGCCCAGGTGAGTCTGGTGTCAGGTGAGTCTGGTGGGTCTGGTGAGTCAGGTGAGTCTGGTGTGTGGAAAATTGGGTGAGTCTGGTAAGTTTGGTGACTCTAGTGTCTTGTGTGTGAGATGAGTATGTGTCTGAGGAGTCAGGTGTGTCTGGTGACTCAGGTGTCTGGTGAGTCATGTCAAGTAAGTCAGGTGAAACAAAAGTGTAAGGTGACAGATGAACCAGGTTGGATGAGTCAGGGACTGGGGTGAGTACTGGTGAGTCAAGTGAGCAAGGTAGGTGAGATGGGACAGCACCTACCACATCCTGCCAAGTGTTGAGGGAATTATCACAGATACTCAGAATCTGAAGTCGAGGAAAGATCTGGCCAAGATACGAGAGGTCACTCAGCTTGTTGTGGGAAACATTCAGGTCCTCCAGAGATCTGCAAGAACACAAGTAACCACAGATCTAAAACAACAGCAGTAACCAGAGATCTGCAAGAACACAAGTAACCAGAGATCTGCAAGAACACCAGTAACTAGAGATCTTATACAACACCAGTAAACAGAGATCTGCAAGAACACAAGTAACCAGAGATCTGCAAGAACACAAGTAACCAGAGATCTGAAACAACACCAGTAACTAGAGATCTTATACAACACCAGTAACCAGAGATCTGCAAGAACACAAGTAACCACAGATCTGAAACGACACCAGTAACCAGAGATCTGCAAGAACACAAGTAACTAGAGATCTTATACAACACCAGTAGCCAGAGATCTGCAAGAACACAAGTAACCAGAGATCTGCAAGAATACCAGTAACCAGAGATCTTATACAACACCAGTAACCAGAGATCTGCAAGAACACAAGTAACCAGAGATCTGCAAGAATACCAATAACCAGAGATCTTTAAACAACACCAGTAACCAGAGATCTGCAAGAACACCAGTAACTAGAGATCTTATACAACACCAGTAACCAGAGATCTGCAAGAACACCAGTAACTAGAGATCTTATACAACACCAGTAACCAGAGATCTGCAAGAACACCAGTAACCAGAGATATGCAAGAACACCAGTCACTAGAGATCTTATACAACACCAGTAGCCAGAGATCTGCAAGAACACCAGTAACTAGAGATCTTATACAACACAAGTAACCAGAGGTCTTATATAACACCAGTAACTAGAGATCTTATACAACACCAGTAACCGGAGATCTGCAAGAACACCAGTAACTAGAGATCTTAAACACCAGTAACCAGAGATCTTAAGCACCACTAGCAAATTGAGATCATAAACAACACCAGTAACCAGTTATATTAAACACACCAGTAACCAGAGATCATAAACAACACCAGTAACCAGAGATCTGCAAGAACACAAGTAACCAGAGATCTTAAACAACACCAGTAACCAGAGACCTGCAAGAACACCAGTAACCAGAGATCTTAAACAACACCAGTAACCAGAGATCTTAAACAACACCAGTTACCAGAGATCTGAAACAACACCAGTGACCAGAGATCTGCAAGAACACAAGTAACCAGAGATCTTAAACAACATCAGTAACCAGAGATCTTAAACAACACCAGTAACTAGAGATCTGAAACAACACCAGTGACCAGATATGGACTTAATCCCTGTGAGGTTACCTGGGCCATAACAAAAGTGATAACTACAATCCCTATAACCGTTACCACTATGTGCACACCTAGCACATCAAGCTACTTGTATAGATCTACTTGTGTAAGTAAAAGCTTTTACATACTGCATGCTATCAAGTTGTCAGTTTCAACTGTAACCAACCCCCTGCATATAGGCGTATGCTAATAATTTACAATCAATGTCACATGCACCAACACATTGTTACAGCTGCTCTGTGATTTGTGTCACTATCTTGAAGCATGGCCACCTCTGTTCATTCATTACTAACGTCCCGTGACATGTCTTGTGAGGACTACCATGGCAAGACCCATTCCACTACCTGAGCTTCCCAAGACTCCGCAGACTGGACAACTGGTTACTGGAAACATCTAGGATCTGAAACATCAACACTTGGACTTTACTGTACTCTCAGAATCTCATACTGGTCAATTATTGGTACATCTGTAAATGGAGGCACTGTCAACAGGAAATAGTCTGTAAAGGGAGGCACTGTCAACAGGAAATAGTCTGTAAATGGAGGCACTGTCAACAGGAAATAGTCTGTAAAGGGAGGCACTGTCAACAGGAAATAGTCTGTAAAGGGATGCACCGTCAACAGGAAATAGTCTGTAAAGGGAGGCACCATCAACAGGAAATAGTCTGTAAAGGGAGGCACCATCAACAGGAAATAGTCTGTAAAGGGAGGCACCATCAACAGGAAATAGTCTGTACAGGGAGGCACTGTCAACAGGAAATAGTCTGTAAAGGGAGGCACCATCAACAGGAAATAGTCTGTAAAGGGAGGCACCATCAACAGGAAATAGTCTGTAAAGGGAGGCACTGTCAACAGGAAATAGTCTGGAAAGGGAGGCACCATCAACAGGAAATAGTCTGTAAAGGGAGGCACTGTCGACATGAAATAGTCTGTAAAGGGTTGCACCATCAACAGGAAATAGTCTGTAAAGGGTGGCACCATCAACAGGAAATAGTCTGTAAAGGGTGGCACCATCAACAGGAAATAGTCTGTAAAGGGAGGCACCATCAACAGGAAATAGTCTGTAAAGGGAGGCACCATCAACAGGAAATAGTCTGTAAAGGGTGGCACCATCAACAGGAAATAGTCTGTAAAGGGAGGCACTGTCAACAGGAAATAGTCTGTAAAGGGAGGCACCGTCACCAGGAAATAGTCTGTAAAGGGAGGCACCGTCAACATGAAATAGTCTGTAAAGGGAGGCACCATCAACAGGAAATAGTCTGTAAATGGAGGCACTGTCAACAGGAAATAGTCTGTAAAGGGAGGCACCGTCAACGGGAAATAGTCTGTAAAGGGAGGCACCATCAACAGGAAATAGTCTGTAAAGGGAGGCACCGTCAACAGGAAATAGTCTGTAAAGGGAGGCACCATCAACAGGAAATAGTCTGTAAATGGAGGCACTGTCAACAGGAAATAGTCTGTAAAGGGAGGCACCGTCACCAGGAAATAGTCTGTAAAGGGAGGCACCGTCAACAGGAAATAGTCTTTAAAGGGAGGCACCATCAACAGGAAATAGTCTGTGAAGGGAGGCTCCACGCAAGTAACTAGAGATCTTATACAACACCAGTAGCCAGAGATCTGCAAGAACACAAGTAACCAGAGATCTGCAAGAATACCAGTAACTAGAGATCTTATACAACACCAGTAACCAGAGATCTGCAAGAACACAAGTAACCAGAGATCTGCAAGAATACCAATAACCAGAGATCTTTAAACAACACCAGTAACCAGAGATCTAGTGATAGGTCAGGACTACTAGTCTGATACAGCCACCATCAGTGATAGGGCCAGGGCTACTAGTCTGATACAGCCACCATCAGTGATAGGGTCAGGACTACTAGTCTGATACAGCCACCATCAGTGATAGGGCCAGGGCTACTAATCTGATACAGCCACCATCAGTCATAGGGTCAAGGCTACTAGTCTGATACAGCCACCATCAGTGATAGGTCAGGACTACTAATCTGATACAGCCACCATCAGTGATAGGATCAGGGCTACTACTCTGATACAGCCACCATCAGTGATAGGGTCAGGGCTACTAGTCTGATACAGCCACCATCAGTGATAGGAAGAAGGCTACTGGTCTGATACAGCCACCATCAGTCATAGAGTCAGGGCTTCTAGTCTGATGCAGCCACCATCAGTGATAGGGTCAGGGCTACTAGTCTGATACAGCCACCATCAGTGATAGGGTCAGGGCTACTAGTCTGATACAGCCACCATCAGTGATAGGGTCAGGGCTACTAGTCTGATACAGCCACCATCAGTGATAGGGCCAGGGTTACTAGTCTGATACAGCCACCATCAGTGATAGGGTCAGGACTACTAGTCTGATACAGCCACCATCAGTGATAGGTCAGGACTACTAGTCTGATACAGCCACCATCAGTGATAGGGCCAGGGCTACTAGTCTGATACAGCCACCATCAGTCATAGGGTCAGGACTACTAGTCTGATACAGCCACCATCAGTGATAGGGCCAGGGCTACTAATCTGATACAGCCACCATCAGTCATAGGGTCAAGGCTACTAGTCTGATACAGCCACCATCAGTGATAGGTCAGGACTACTAATCTGATACAGCCACCATCAGTGATAGGATCAGGGCTACTACTCTGATACAGCCACCATCAGTGATAGGGTCAGGGCTACTAGTCTGATACAGCCACCATCAGTGATAGGAAGAAGGCTACTGGTCTGATACAGCCACCATCAGTCATAGAGTCAGGGCTACTAGTCTGATGCAGCCACCATCAGTGATAGGGTCAGGGCTACTAGTCTGATACAGCCACCATCAGTGATAGGGTCAGGACTACTAGTTTGATACAGCCACCATCAGTGATAGGGCCAGGACTACTAGTCTGATACAGCCACCATCAGTGATAGGGTCAAGGCTACTAGTCTGATACAGCCACCATCAGTGATAGGGTCAGGACTACTAATCTGATACAGCCACCATCAGTGATAGGGTCAAGGCTACTAGTCTGATACAGCCACCATCAGTGATAGGGTCAGGGCTACTAGTCTGATACAGCCACCATCAGTGATAGGGCCAGGGCTACTAGTCTGATACAGCCACCATCAGTGATAGGGTCAGGGCTACTAGTCTGATACAGCCACCATCAGTGATAGGGTCAGGACTACTAGTCTGATACAGCCACCATCAGTGATAGGGCCAGGGCTACTAGTCTGATACAGCCACCATCAGTGATAGGGTCAGGACTACTAGTCTGATACAGCCACCATCAGTGATAGGGTCAGGACTACTGGTCTGATACAGCCACCATCAGTGATAGGGTCAGGGCTCCTGGTCTGATACAGCCACCATCAGTGATAGGGTCAAGGCTACTAGTCTGATACAGCCACCATCAGTGATAGGGTCAGGGCTACTAGTCTGATACAGCCACCATCAGTGATAGGGTCAGGGCTACTGGTCTGATACAGCCACCATCAGTGATAGGGTCAAGGCTACTAGTCTGATACAGCCACCATCAGTGATAGGGCTAGGGCTACTAGTCTGATACAGCCACCATCAGTGATAGGGTCAGGGCTACTGGTCTGATACAGCCACCATCAGTGATAGGGTCAAGGCTACTAGTCTGATACAGCCACCATCAGTGATAGGGCCAGGGCTACTAGTCTGATACAGCCACCATCAGTGGCCAGGGCTACTGGTCTGTTGGAAGTAGCATGCATCCAAGCCATGCTGTTGTCTGTCTCCTGTGTTAAAACGTTGCTGCTACAAGCTGTGTGTAAGTCTCCAAGGGGTTACACAGTCAAGCCTGACCTCAGGTTCAGGACATAATCAATAACAAGGTGCCCCTGGAAACAATGATGACAAACTTACAGGGACAAAAACTGGGCAAGCAATTAAACAGTGATCTTTTTTGTGTTGGACAAGTAGCTTTCACCCAGCAGTGATCACCTTTTCACTCACATATGTCATCTGTCTGAAGCTCAGCTGACTTAAACTTACTCAACAAACAAATTGCAGAGGAATATTTTTAACTCACAGAATCAATTTACAGTTTGCAGTAGCTACAGCCAGCAAAGTGTGAGCCCTCCACTCTCTGAAGACTACATTGAGGGGGAAAGGGGAAGGGGAGAAATGGCTACGGAATATTTGCCTCCTATGGCTGTCAGATGAGAGTTATTAACTGTCCCGAGATGGGGTCAAAACTCCTCCTGTTCGTTTATGAATCAGAAATAAAGAGCTTTCTGTAATGCACTTAATGGACCCCGTCTGGAGTGTGGTGGCTCACATGTAAAGATTCCTGCCATTCATCAATGCCCACTTCTTCCATACACTCCGCAGATCCTGTCGGATTGTATTCCACCATGAACCATCACAAACACGGATCTGACACGATGTTTACAAATTTAACTATGGCCATATTGTCTATCACATTAGATGATAGTTTAAGGAAACAATCAAATAATTATTTTATATTTTTGTTTGAAAGACTGTGTTTTCTGAAGTTTAGAAAAGTGCTATTTTCACTGCGGTGAAGATAACACATGATATTTCACTGTAGTAAACATAACACTTGATATTTCACTGTGGTGAACATAACACTTGATATTTCACTGCAGTAAACATAACACTTGATATTTCATTGCGGTGAACATAACACTTGATATTTCATTGCGGTGAACATAACACTTGATATTTCATTGCGTCGAACATAACACTTGATATTTCATTGCAGTGAACATAACACTTGATGTTTCATTGCGGTGAACATAACACTTGATATTTCATTGCGGTGAACATAACACTTGATATTTCACTGCAGTAAACATAACACTTGATATTTCATTGCGGTGAACATAACACTTGATATTTCATTGCGGTGAACATAACACTTGATATTTCACTGTGGTGAACATAACACTTGATATTTCATTGCGGTGAACATAACACTTGATATTTCATTGCGGTGAACATAGCACTTGATATTTCACTGCAGTAAATATAACACTTGATATTTCACTGCAGTAAATATAACACTTGATATTTCACTGCGGTGAACATAACACTTGATATTTCACTGCGGTGAACATAACACTTTGACAGAACTATTGTCATACAAGATTTACCTTGTCTTTCTTTATCATAAGTGTCTCGCTCGTACACAAACTGTTGACATCCTTTTTATGTTAGTTCCACACTGACCAGGTAAAATAATGAGAGATGGTCATTTATGGACTTAATATCGCTTCTTGCCATTTGTGATTCTCTCGAAAATGTTTAACTTGTCAATTGAGACTGTTCGTTTCACAAAGTACTATTTTTGAAACTTGACCAGCGGTCTCCTTGTTTTCAAGAACAGTTTTTGGTTACAGTTGCATATAATCATATCTAAATGTATGATGAAAAATTGTCGTGACCCTAAATATTTTTTTATACTTTTGTTCATATTTTTTTATGATCTTGCAAACACAAAACTCCTTTTTAAGTCACAAATACAAGGTGAACCAACCCTGTGTGTTAGGTAGGGAGAATTTATGTTTCAAGGTTATATATTTGTAATGAAATAATTTAATTTTCTGGAAGACAACTACACAAAGAAAATAGGATGAACAGGATAGCCCACTGGTGGAGAGAACCATCATGTTCCTCTCATCCAGTGATGGGGAAAAAGAGATATTTTCACTCGTGTTTACTATATTTTCATCAAAGATGTAGAAAATGAGAGGCACTTTATGTTTTGCTATTTGTTATTTAACCCTGTGTTCTCCACATCTGTGTTCATGGATGCGACTCACATGACACATGGATGACAGATCGGACCATGCATATCATTTTTAAATGGCGTGTTGTATGTGGCATGAGTTTGTCACTAATCGCGGGCTACCTTTTCTATTCTTATATATACATAATCAGAGAAAATATTTGGTAGAATGTCAGATGTTGTATATCTGAAATATCACAAGACAATCAATGTGAATGAGATAACACAAGAACAGAGTGTGTTAAGTTGTACAAAGGACATAATTGCCCTCAATCATGAAACGCCTTTTGAAATTTGATCAATACAACAGCAACACAGGGAACAATGACATCATCATCCCATGCCTTGCACACCAATGTCATCACAATAAAACAATGACATCATCATCCCATGCCTTGCACACCAATGTCATCACAATAAAACAATGACATCATCATCCCATGCCTTGCACACCAATGTCATCACAATAAAACAATGACATCATCATCCCATGCCTTGCACACCAATGTCATCACAATAAAACAATGACATCATCATCCCATGCCTTGCACACCAATGTCATCACAATAAAACAATGACATCATCATCCCATGCCTTGCACACCAATGTCATCACAATAAAACAATGACATCATCATCCCATGCCTTGCACACCAATGTCATCACAATAAAACAATGACATCATCATCCCATGCCTTGCACACCAATGTCATCACAATAAAACAATGACATCATCATCCCATGCCTTGCACACCAATGTCATCACAATAAAACAATGACATAATCATCCCATGCCTTGCACACCCAAGTCATCACAATAAAACAATGACATCATCATCCCATGCCTTGCACACCAATGTCATCACAATAAAACAATGACATCATCATCCCATGCCTTGCACACCAATGTCATCACAATAAAACAATGACATCATCATCCCATGCCTTGCACACCAATGTCATCACAATAAAACAATGACATCATCATCCCATGCCTTGCACACCAATGTCATCACAATAAAACAATGACATCATCATCCCATGCCTTGCACACCAATGTCATCACAATAAAACAATGACATCATCATCCCATGCCTTGCACACCCAAGTCATCACAATAAAACAATGACATCATCATCCCATGCCTTGCACACCAATGTCATCACAATAAAACAATGACATCATCATCCCATGCCTTGCACACCAATGTCATCACAATAAAACAATGACATCATCATCCCATGCCTTGCACACCAATGTCATCACAATAAAACAATGACATCATCATCCCATGCCTTGCACACCAATGTCATCACAATAAAACAATGACATCATCATCCCATGCCTTGCACACCCAAGTCATCACAATAAAACATTGACATCATCATCCCATGCCTTGCACACCCAAGTCATCACAATAAAACAATGACATCATCATCCCATGTCTTGCACATCCATGACATCACAATCAAACATCCTTACTCAGTATCAGGCACTGCTAAACAAATATAATTACACAATTAGTCACGACACACTGAAATATCATGATGTACGAGGGGTGTTCATTAAAGATTTCCCCTGACCCACTTCTGATGGACCTAGTGGAATGAAACTTGGCATAGGTATTAGTCTTTCTCCACATAGGAACCACCAAGAGTTACACACTTCTCCCATCGTTTAATGCAACTATGGTGATCTCGCTTGTAAAAGCCCTCATTTTGCATCTCAAACCAGGACTTGACTTCAGAAATCAGTGTTTCATCATCTGTGAAACGTTTTCCCTTCAAACATGACTTCATGGTTGGAAAGAGGTGGAAGTCAGACGGTGCAAGGTCGGGAGAGTAAGGAGGATGTGGAAGGATTTCATAGCCACAGGACCGCGCTTCTGTCTGGGCAACATGAGAGTTGTGTACTGGAGCATTGTCCTGCAGGGGACGGACACCCTTGGTCAGCATGCCACGCCTCTTAAGCTTGATAGCGTCCCGCAATTTCCGCAGCAGTGAAGCATAATAAGCTCCTGTAATTGTGGTACCCTTTGCCAAGAAATCCATCACCACTACTCTGTGCTGGTCCCAAAACACCGTGAGCATGACCTTGCCTGCAGAGGGTTGGACACGTGCCTTCTTTGGGGGTGGTGACTCCACAAGCTTCCATTGCATCAACTGAACTTTAGTCTCAGGATCATAGTGATGGACCCATGTTTCATCCTGTGTGATAAGTCTGTCAAAAAAGTTTGCCTGTTTTTTTGGCACATGTCCAAAAGATCCTTTGAGCAATTGACTCGTTCCTGCTTTTGGAAAGGTGTGAGCAACCTGGGAATCCATCGTGCAGACACCTTATGCATGTTCAAATTGTCATGGATGATTTTTTCCACAGACCCTACACTGATCTTGACTTCTTGTGCTAACTGGCGAACAGTTATACGTCGGTCTGCCAAAATGGCGGTCTCCACTTGATGGATAGTGTCCTCATCAATGGCTGAATGGGGGCGACCAGGAATGGCAGCTGTTTCCACAGATGTCCGACCACACTTGAACTGGCGATGCCAGTGTTTAACAACGTCATATGATGGGGCATCTTCCCCATAAGTTGCTTTCATTTCATCGAAAGTTTCTTTTGGTGTGCGACCTTTCAAATATAAAACCTGATCACTGCTCGGTATTCTACTGGCTCCATTGTCACACCCTATTCGATCATAACACCTGTAAAAGTGGTAAGATTAATAGTTCGGTGCTGCAAATTCAGACATAACCCATAGATACATGTGACACATGACACATGTGAAATTTCAAACAAATATGATAACCCTAAGTGGTTAAGGGGAAATCTTTAATGAACACCCCTCGTACAATAAAGCAATTTCTGAAAGCAAACCTACTTGAAATTTGATTTGAAGAGGAATTACATTTGGGTGGAAGTGGATTATATGGTGCCTTACTGCATCTGTAGCGTACTCCATGCTGAGTGGCTAACTCTATTGACAACAAGCACACCTGCCAACTCACCTGTAAGTGAGGGAGACCGGCAAGACCACTGAGATCAGAGATCCTGTTTCCCGAGAGATCAACCTCCTGAAGCTTCTTACATCTCTGGATCTCTGTCACCTTCCGGAGCCGGTTGTTGGAGGCTGTGAGCTCCTCCAGGTTTGGCAGGTAGTTCAAGGCCTGTAATATGTACAGTAGTTCAAAGCCTGCAATATGTACAGGTAGTTCAAGGCCTGCAATATGTACAGGTATATAAGGCCTGCAATATGTACAGGTAGTTCAAGGCCTGCAATATGTACAGGTAGTTTAAGGCCTGCAATATGTACAGTAGTTCAAGGCCTGTAATATGTACAGTAGTTCAAGGCCTGCAATATGTACAGGTAGTTCAAGGCCTGCAATATGTACAGGTAGTTCAAGGCCTGTAATATGTACAGTAGTTCAAGGCCTGCAATATGTACAGTAGTTCAAGGCCTGCAATATGTACAGGTAGTTCAAGGCCTGCAATATGTACAGGTAGTTCAAGGCCTGCAATATGTACAGTAGTTCAAGGCCTGCAATATGTACAGTAGTTCAAGGCCTGCAATATGTACAGTAGTTCAAGGCCTGCAATATGTACAGGTAGTTCAAGGCCTGCAATATGTACAGGTAGTTCAAGGCCTGCAATATGTACAGTAGTTCAAGGCCTGCAATATGTACAGGTAGTTCAAGGCCTGCAATATGTACAGGTAGTTCAAGCCTGCAATATGTACAGGTAGTTCAAGGCCTGCAATATGTACAGTAGTTCAAGGCCTGCAATATGTACAGTAGTTCAAGGCCTGCAATATGTACAGTAGTTCAAGGCCTGCAATATGTACAGGTAGTTCAAGGCCTGCAATATGTACAGGTAGTTCAAGGCCTGCAATATGTACAGTAGTTCAAGGCCTGCAATATGTACAGGTAGTTGAAGGCCTGCAATATGTACAGGTAGTTCAAGGCCTGCAATATGTACAGGTAGTTCAAGGCCTGCAATATGTACAGTAGTTCAAGGCCTGCAATATGTACAGGTAGTTCAAGGCCTGCAATATGTACAGGTAGTTCAAGGCCTGCAATATGTACAGGTAGTTCAAGGCCTGCAATATGTACAGGTAGTTCAAGGCCTGCAATATGTACAGTAGTTCAAGGCCTGCAATATGTACAGGTAGTTCAAGGCCTGCAATATGTACAGGTAGTTCAAGGCCTGCAATATGTACAGGTAGTTCAAGGCCTGCAATATGTACAGTAGTTCAAGGCCTGCAATATGTACAGGTAGTTCAAGGCCTGCAATATGTACAGGTAGTTCAAGGCCTGCAATATGTACAGGTAGTTCAAGGCCTGCAATATGTACAGTAGTTCAAGGCCTGCAATATGTACAGGTAGTTCAAGGCCTGCAATATGTACAGGTAGTTCAAGGCCTGCAATATGTACAGGTAGTTCAAGGCCTGCAATATGTACAGTAGTTCAAGGCCTGCAATATGTACAGGTAGTTAAAGGCCTGCAATATGTACAGGTAGTTAAAGGCCTGCAATATGTACAGGTAGTTCAAGGCCTGCAATATGTACAGTAGTTCAAGGCCTGCAATATGTACAGGTAGTTCAAGGCCTGCAATATGTACAGGTAGTTCAAGGCCTGCAATATGTACAGTAGTTCAAGGCCTGCAATATGTACAGGTAGTTCAAGGCCTGCAATATGTACAGGTAGTTCAAGCCTGCAATATGTACAGGTAGTTCAAGGCCTGCAATATGTACAGTAGTTCAAGGCCTGCAATATGTACAGTAGTTCAAGGCCTGCAATATGTACAGTAGTTCAAGGCCTGCAATATGTACAGGTAGTTCAAGGCCTGCAATATGTACAGGTAGTTCAAGGCCTGCAATATGTACAGGTAGTTCAAGGCCTGCAATATGTACAGGTAGTTCAAGGCCTGCAATATGTACAGTAGTTCAAGGCCTGCAATATGTACAGTAGTTCAAGGCCTGCAATATGTACAGGTAGCTCAAGGCCTGCAATATGTACAGGTAGTTCAAGGCCTGCAATATGTACAGGTAGTTCAAGGCCTGCAATATGTACAGGTAGTTAAAGGCCTGCAATATGTACAGGTAGTTCAAGGCCTGCAATATGTACAGTAGTTCAAGGCCTGCAATATGTACAGTAGTTCAAGGCCTGCAATATGTACAGGTAGTTCAAGGCCTGCAATATGTACAGGTAGTTCAAGGCCTGCAATATGTACAGGTAGTTCAAGGCCTGCAATATGTACAGGTAGTTCAAGGCCTGCAATATGTACAGGTAGTTAAAGGCCTGCAAGATGTACAGGTAGATAGATGAATGCTGGGACTGTATCTGGGAGACATGCTGCTGGTCTGCTCATTCAGCAGAAACTGTCCAGTTCCTAACACATCAGGTTGAGATTAGTAATGAGATATGAGGAAGTCATTGATTAGAAGGAGTTATTCCACTGATGAGGTGATGATTGCTGTCTGAGACTGAGAATATCCTTACTGACAGGTTGTCCAGCATATTGGAGCTGAGGTCAAGCACAGTGATCTGGACGCAAGCGACGAGGTCACTTGTCTCGAGGCGTAGCAGGTTGTTGCTGTCCAGTCTCAATGTCCGTAGCTTCTTCAGGCAGCTCAAACCTCGACCTGGAATGTAGAACATTAGCCACTTAGACGCAATTCAGTGAACTGGAGGTCCCAGGTGGACCAGGGTTTTGAATGAATCATGTTTTTGTTGTTTATACCAGCTATATGACGGCGGTCTGTAAATAATCGAGTCTGGACCAGACTATCCAGTGATTGACATCATGAGCATCAATCCATGCATTTGGGATACGATGACATGCGACAACCAAGCCAACAAGCCTGACCACTCGATCGCGATACTCGCCTCTTACGACAAGGATAGTCGCTTTTGACATCAAGCATGGGTTGCTGAAGACCTATTCTACCACAGATCTTCACGGGGGGAATGAATCATGTGTCCCTGACAGAGGGGCACACCAGGTTGATATGTTTCACTTTGAGTTCACCCAACACCAGGTCGAACTGTTTCACCTGTGTTCACCCTACATCAGGTCGACCTGTGTCCCTGAGTTCATCCTTCATCAGGTCGACCTGTTTGACTTGAGTTTACTTCACACCAGGTCAACCTGTTTCACTTGATTTCACCTCGCACCAGTACGACCTGTTTCACTTTGTGTTCACCCTACACCAGGTTGACCTGTTTTACTTAGGTTCACCTCACACCAGGTTGACCTTGGTATCAACAAAATCAACAAAATAGAACAGGCAACCTGGTCAATGTTGTGATGCCAAACAACATCCAAATAACTTGTCAGTGTCATACAAAAATTATCAAACATAGACTACAGCTGACTGGGTCTGTGTCATGACACACACACACAAATACTACAGCTGACTGGGTCTGTGTCATGACACACAAACATAGACTACAGCTGACTAGGTCTGTGTCATGACACACACACATAGACTACAGCTGACTGGGTCTGTGTCATGACACACACAAACATAGACTACAGCTGACTGGGTCTGTGTCATGACACACACAAACATAGACTACAGCTGACTGGGTCTGTGTCATGACACACACAAACATAGACTACAGCTGACTGGGTCTGTGTCATGACACACACACACATAGACAACAGCTGACTGGGTCAGTGCAGAGATAAGGGGAGTGCAGCTACTCACCGATGGATCTGATCTTGTTGTGCTGCAGCTGCAGACTACACAGCTCCTTGAGACTGTAACAGAAACACCACGGTAAGACACACCCTACTCACACACCAACCCACACTCCACACACACCAACTGACCCTACACACTCACTCACCCTACACACACACTAATTGCCCCTACACACACACTAACTGACCTTACACACACACCAACTGACCTACACACATGCTAACTGACCCTACACATACTAAATGACCCTACACACACACACACACATTTACTGACCTTACACACACACTAATTGCCCCTACACACACACTAATTGCCCCTACACACACACTTACTGACCTTACACACACACACACACACACACTAACTGACCTTACACACACACCAACCAACTGACCTACACAGATGCTAACTGATCCAACACATACTAAATGACCATACACACACACTAACTGACCTTACACACACACAAACTGACCTTACACACACACTAATTGACCTTACACACACACAAACTGACCCTACACACACTAACTGACCTTACACACACACAAACTGACCTTACACGCACACTAACTGACCCTACACACACACTTATTGACCCTACACACACACTAACTGACCCAACACACGCTGACCCTACACACACACTTATTGACCCTACACACACACTAACTGACCCTACACACATACTAACTGACCCTACACACACACTTACTGACCTTACACACACACAAACTGACCTTACACACACACTAACTGACCCTACACACACACTTAATGACCCTACACACACACTAACTGACCCTACACACACACTAACTGACCCTACACACGAACTAGCTGATCCTACACACACACTATCTGACCCTAGACACACACGAACTGACCCTACACACAAACTAACTGACCTGACACACACACTAACTGACCCTACACACACACTAACTGACCCTACACACACTAACTGACCCTACACACACTAACTGACCCTACACATACACACACACACAAACTGAGGCTACACATGCACTAGCTAACCCAACACACACACTTACTGACCCTACCCACACACTAACTGACCTTACACACGAACTAGCTGACCCTACACACACACAAACTGACCCCCAACACACACTAACCGACCAAACACACACACTAGCTGATCACACACACAAACTGACCCTACACACACACACAAACTGACCCTACACACACACAAACTGACTCTAAACACAAACACACTGACCGTCCAAACACACACACAAACTGACCCTACACACACACACAAACTGACCCTACACACACACACTAACTGACCCTACACACACACAAACTGACTCTACACACACACACTAACCTACCAAACACACACACACACACACAAACTAACCCTACACACACAAACACTAGCTGATCACACACCCTAACTGACCACATACACTAACTGACCCTACATACACACACACTAACTGACCCTACACACACACACACAAACTGACCCTACACACAAACTAACGGACCAAACACACACCCTAACCGACCCTACACACACACTAACCGACCAAACACACACACAAACTGATCCTACACACACACCCTAACTGACCACATACACTAACTGACCCTACACACACACTCTAACTGACCCTACATACACACACACAAACTGACCCTACACACACACTAACCGACCAAACACACACCCTAACCGACCCTACACACACACTAACCGACCCTACACACACACTAACCTACCAAACACACACACTTACTGACCCTACACAAACGCTAACTGACCCAGCACACACACTCACTGACCCTACACATACACTAACCGACCAAACACACACACTAACCGACCCTACACACACACTAACCGACCCTACACACACACTAACCGACCCTACACACACACTAACCGACCCTACACACGCACTAACCGACCCTACACACACACTAACCAACCCTACACACACACTAACTGACCGTACACAAACGCTAACTGACCCAGCACACACACTAACTGACCCTACACATACACTAACCGACCAAACACACACTAACCGACCAAACACACACACTAACCGACCCTACACACACACTAACCGACCAAACACACACATTAACCGACCCTACACACACACTAACCGACCAAACACACACACAAACTGATCCTACACACACACACTAACTGACCGTACACAAACGCTAACTGACCCAGCACACACACTAACTGACCCTACACATACACACTAACTGACCCTATACACACAATAACTGACTCTACACACACACACTAACTGACCCTATACACACAATAACTGACTCTACACACACACACTAACTGACCCTACACACTACCCAACACACACACACTGACACTACACACACAATAACTGACCCTACACACATACTAACTGACCCTACACACACTAACTGACCCTACACACACACACACACACTAACTGACCCTATACATACAATAAGTGACCCTACACACACACTAACTGACCCTCCACACACTAGCTGACCCTACACACACACACAAACTGACCCTACACACACACACTAACTGAATTTAACTGGTTTTCGCATTGTGAATAAACAATATATAACTGACCCTTCACACACTTACTGACCCTACACACACACTAACTGACCCTACACACACACACTAGCTGATCACACAGACACAAATTGACCAAACACACACACACTAACTGACCCTACGCACACACACACTAACTGACCCTACACACACACTAACTGACCAAACACACACCAACCGACCAAACACACACACTAAGTCACCACACACACAAACTGCCCTTACCAATAAGTGGTGAAAATCTTGAGGGTGGCAGATATTTTACTGCAGCTTTTGACAAGTTTTCCTCTACACTGAAATGCTCTGTTCACAGAACATTCCTACATCATCATGGATATGTGTCTTTATAGAATCTAATGCATCAACTCACTTGTCGAGATTCTCTATAACTGAAATCTGGTTCCCATAAAGTTTCAACTCGCGTAAATCCTGAAATGAGAAACAAAAGATGTTATGTACAGCTAAGCTATCCATAGAGCTAAGCTGAATTATCTGTAGAAATAAGTTGAGTTATCTGTAAAGCTGAGTCATCTGTAGATCTTGGCTAATTTGAAAAAAGGGGAAGGTGTACAGAACTTTACTTTCAGATTTAAGAACACCATGTGTGCCAAAACAATGCATGAAGGCAGATGTCGCTACGAATACAAGGTATGTCATGACTTGGGTAAAGATGGGGTACAGATGGGACACAGGTGGCTAATATCTGTTTACACACATGACATGAAGAAATATCTCACCTTAATGTCACTCACATGTATACACAGGACATATTTCACCTCAATGTCACTCACATGCATACACAGGACATATTTCACCTTAATGTCACTTACATGTATACACAGAACATATCTCACCTTAATGTCACTTACATCCATACACAGGACATATTTCACCTTAATGTCACTTACATGCATACACAGAACATATCTCACCTTAATGACACTTACATGCATACACAGAACATATCTCACCTTAATGTCACTTACATCCATACACAGGACATATCTCACCTTAATGTCACTTATATGCATACACAGGACATATTTCACCTTAATGTCACTTACATGCATACACAGGACACATTTCACCTTAATGTCACTTACATGTATACACAGAACATATCTCACCTTAATGTCACTTACATGTATACACAGAACATATCTCACCTTAATGTCACTTACATGCATACACAGAACATATCTCACCTTAATGTCACTTACATGTATACACAGAACATATCTCACCTTAATGTCACTTACATGTATACACAGAACATATCTCACCTTAATGTCACTTACATGCATACACAGAACATATCTCACCTTAATGTCACTTACATGTATACACAGAACATATCTCACCTTAATGTCACTCACATGCATACACAGGACATATCTCACCTTAATGCCACTTACATGTATACACAGGACATATCTCACCTTAATGCCACTTACATGTATACACAGGACATATCTCACCTTAATGCCACTTACATGTATACACAGAACATATCTCACCTTAATGTCACTCACATGCATACACAGGACATATCTCACCTTAATGTCACTTACATGCATACACAGAACATATCTCACCTTAATGTCACTTACATGTTTACACAGAACATATCTCACCTTAATGTCACTTACATGCATACACAGGACATATCTCACCTTAATGCCACTTACATGTATACACAGGACATATCTCACCTTAATGTCACTTACATGTATACACAGGACATATCTCACCTTAATGTCACTTACATCCATACACAGGACATATCTCACCTTAATGTCACTTACATGCATACACAGGACATATCTCACCTTAATGTCACTTACATGCATACACAGGACATATTTCACCTTAATGTCACTTACATGTATACACAGGACATATCTCACCTTAATGTCACTTACATCCATACACAGGACATATCTCACCTTAATGTCACTTATATGCATACACAGGACATATTTCACCTTAATGTCACTTACATGTATACACAGGACATATCTCACCTTAATGTCACTTACATGTATACACAGAACATATCTCACCTTAATGTCACTTACATGCATACACAGGACATATCTCACCTTAATGCCACTTACATGTATACACAGGACATATCTCACCTTAATGTCACTTACATGTATACACAGGACATATCTCACCTTAATGTCACTTACATCCATACACAGGACATATCTCACCTTAATGTCACTTACATGCATACACAGGACATATTTCACCTTAATGTCACTTATATGTATACACAGGACATATCTCACCTTAATGTCACTTATATGCATACACAGGACATATTTCACCTTAATGTCACTTACATGTATACACAGGACATATCTCACCTTAATGTCACTTACATGCATACACAGGACATATCTCACCTTAATGCCACTTACATGTATACACAGGACATATCTCACCTTAATGTCACTTACATGTATACACAGGACATATCTCACCTTAATGTCACTTACATCCATACACAGGACATATCTCACCTTAATGTCACTTACATGCATACACAGGACATATTTCACCTTAATGTCACTTACATGTATACACAGGACATATCTCACCTTAATGTCACTTACATGCATACACAGAACATATTTCACCTCAATGTCACTCACATGCATACACAGGACATATTTCACCTTAATGTCACTTACATGTATACACAGGACATATCTCACCTTAATGTCACTTACATCCATACACAGGACATATCTCACCTTAATGTCACTTACATGCATACACAGGACATATTTCACCTTAATGTCACTTATATGTATACACAGGACATATCTCACCTTAATGTCACTTACATGCATACACAGAACATATTTCACCTCAATGTCACTCACATGCATACACAGGACATATTTCACCTTAATGTCACTTACATGTATACACAGGACATATCTCACCTTAATGTCACTTACATCCATACACAGGACATATCTCACCTTAATGTCACTTACATGCATACACAGGACATATTTCACCTTAATGTCACTTATATGTATACACAGGACATATCTCACCTTAATGTCACTTATATGCATACACAGGACATATTTCACCTTAATGTCACTTACATGTATACACAGAACATATCTCACCTTAATGTCACTTACATGCATACACAGGACATATCTCACCTTAATGCCACTTACATGTATACACAGGACATATCTCACCTTAATGTCACTTACATGTATACACAGGACATATCTCACCTTAATGTCACTTACATCCATACACAGGACATATCTCACCTTAATGTCACTTACATGCATACACAGGACATATTTCACCTTAATGTCACTTACATGTATACACAGGACATATCTCACCTTAATGTCACTTACATGCATACACAGAACATATTTCACCTCAATGTCACTCACATGCATACACAGGACATATTTCACCTTAATGTCACTTACATGTATACACAGGACATATCTCACCTTAATGTCACTTACATGTATACACAGAACATATTTCACCTCAATGTCACTCACATGCATACACAGGACATATCTCACCTTAATGTCACTTACATGTATACACAGGACATATCTCACCTTAATGTCACTTACATGTATACACAGGACATATTTCACCTTAATGTCACTTACATGCATACACAGGACATATCTCACCTTAATGTCACTTACATGTATACACAGAACATATCTCACCTTAATGTCACTTACATGTATACACAGAACATATCTCACCTTAATGTCACTTACATGTATACACTGGACATATCTCACCTTAATGTCACTTACATGCATACACAGGACATATCTCACCTTAATGTCACTTACATGTATACACAGGACATATTTCACCTTAATGTCACTTACATGCATACACAGGACATATCTCACCTTAATGTCACTTACATGCATACACAGAACATATCTCACCTTAATGTCACTTACATGTATACACAGAACATATCTCACCTTAATGTCACTGACATGCATACACAGGACATATCTCACTTTAATGCCACTTACATGTATACTTGTTTGTTTGTTGTTTATCGCAACAATCAACAATATTCCATCAATATGACATCCGTCTGTAAATAATCGAGTCTGAAGCAGACGATCATGTGATTGGCAACATAAGCATCGATCCACTTAATTGCGATACAATGACATGCATCTACCAAGTCAGCGAGCCTGACCACCCGATCCCGTTAGTCGCATCAAACGACAATCATAATGGCCTGTATACACATATGACACTAGGACACACGCATATGTACACAGAAAGTAGGAACCTACTTGATTGAACTCCAGATTATCTATTCTTCTGATGTGATTGCAGGACAAATCCAGAACTCGTACTTTCCTAAACTGTTGAAAGGAAAATACAACACAAGTGTTTACAACCTTCAGATAAACCCATGCAACAAACAACATCATCTGAACGTAGGATGAACAGTATATACTGATGAATGTTTCCAACTTCCCGGGTTACTTCGCATCCTGCACTTGGTGACCCATGGAACACATTATGTTAACATCATGCATGACATCTGGGTATGTACTGAGTGACACATTGAGCACATTATGTTAACATCATGCATGACATCTGGGTATGTACTGAGTGACACATGGAACACATTATGTTAACATCATGCATGACATCTGGGTATGTACTGAGTGACACATGGAACACATTATGTTAACATCATGCATGACCTCTGGGTATGTACTGAGTGACACATGGAACACATTATGTTAACATCATGCATGACATCTGGGTATGTACTGAGTGACACATGGAACACATTATTCTAACATCATGCATGACATCTGGGTATGTACTGAGTGACACATGGAACACATTATGTTAACATCATGCATGACATCTGGGTATGTACTGAGTGACACATGGAACACATTATGTTAACATCATGCATGACCTCTGGGTATGTACTGAGTGACACATGGAACACATTATGTTAACATCATGCATGACATCTGGGTATGTACTGAGTGACACATGGAACACATTATGTTAACATCATGCATGACCTCTGGGTATGTACTGAGTGACACATGGAACACATAATGTTAACATCATGCATGACCTCTGGGTATGTACTGAGTGACACATGGAACACATTATGTTAACATCATGCATGACATCTGGGTATGTACTGAGTGACACATGGAACACATTATGTTAACATCATGCATGACCTCTGGGTATGTACTGAGTGACACATGGAACACATTATGTTAACATCATGCATGACCTCTGGGTATGTACTGAGTGACACATGGAACACATTATGTTAACATCATGCATGACATCTGGGTATGTACTGAGTGACACATGGAACACATTATGTTAACATCATGCATGACCTCTGGGTATGTACTGAGTGACACATGGAACACATTATGTTAACATCATGCATGACCTCTGGGTATGTACTGAGTGACACATGGAACACATAATGTTAACATCATGCATGACATCTGGGTATGTACTGAGTGACACATGGAACACATAATGTTAACATCATGCATGACATCTGGGTATGTACTGAGTGACACATGGAACACATTATGTTAACATCATGCAAGACATCTGGGTATGTACTGAGTTACACATGGAACACATTATGTTAACATCATGCATGACCTCTGGGTATGTACTGAGTGACACATGGAACACATTATGTTAACATCATGCAAGACATCTGGGTATGTACTGAGTTACACATGGAACACATTATGTTAACATCATGCATGACATCTGGGTATGTACTGAGTGACACATGGAACACATTACGTTAATATCATGCATGACATCTGGGTATGTACTGAGCGACACATGGAACACATTATGTTAACATCATGCATGACATCTGGGTATGTACTGAGTGACACATGGAACACATCATGTTAACATCATGCATGACATCTGGGTATGTACTGAGTGACACATGGAACACATTATGTTAACATCATGCATGACCTCTGGGTGTGTACTGAGTGACACATGGAACACATTATGTTAACATCATGCATGACCTCTGGGTATGTACTGAGTGACACATGGAACACATTATGTTAACATCATGCATGACCTCTGGGTATGTACTGAGTGACACATGGAACACATTATGTTAACATCATGCATGACATCTGGGTATGTACTGAGTTAACTATGGAACACATTATGTTAACATCATGCATGACTTCTGCAAAGGTCACATTTTCATTATTCTCAAATTGTACCACCACCACTAATGTTTGCTAATTCAGAAACATGTCACACGACACAAGATACAACTCATGCTCAGTGTTCTGCTACAATGTGTCCCACATCATGAAGTTTGTGAATATATTCTACCACTGCCTAAAACCTAGATACCTTAGGTAAATATAAACTCTTTTCAATTATACCAAATCTCATAAATGTTCATGTATATGCTTGATGCAAATGTAAAATCACATTCATCACACCAGTTTGAATACTTTGTCTTCACTTTGCAACAGTAAAGGGTGCGTGCTGCCTGACTGCTGCCTGACTGCTGGTGTGTGTTGCCTGACTGTGTGCTGCCTGACTGCTGGTGTGTGCTGCCTGACTGCTGGTGTGTGCTGCCTGACTGCTGGTGTGTGCTGTCTGACTGTGTGCTGCCTGACTGCTGGTGTGTGCTGCCTGACTGCTGATGTGTGCTGTCTGACTGCTGGTGTGTGTTGCCTGACTGTGAGCTGCCTGACTGCTGGTGTGTGCTGTCTGACTGTGTGCTGCCTGACTGCTAGTGTGTTGCCTGACTGCTGGTGTGTGCTGTCTGACTGCTGGTGTGTGTTGCCTGACTGTGTGCTGCCTGACTGCTGGTGTGTGCTGTCTGACTGCTGGTGTGTGCTGTCTGACTGCTGGTGTGTGTTGCCTGACTGTGTGCTGCCTGACTGCTGGTGTGTGCTGCCTGACTGCTGGTGTGTGCTGCCTGACTGCTGGTGTGTGCTGTCTGACTGTGTGCTGCCTGACTGCTGGTGTGTGTTGCCTGACTGCTGGTGTGTGCTGCCTGACTGCTGTTGGTGCTGCCTGACTGCTGGTGTGTGCTATCTGACTGCTGGTGTGTGTTGCGTGACTGCTGGTGTGTGCTGTCTGACTGTGTGCTGCCTGACTGCTGGTGTTTGCTGTCTGACTGCTGGTGTGTGCTGCCTGACTGCTGGTGTGTGCTGCCTGACTGCTGGTGTGTGCTGTCTGACTGCTGGTGTGTGCTGTCTGACTGCTGGTGTGTGCTGCCTGACTGTGTGCTGCCTGACTGCTGGTGTGTGCTGCCTGACTGCTGGTGTGTGCTGTCTGACTGCTGGTGTGTGCTGCCTGCCTGCTGCCTGACTGCTGGTGTGTGTTGCCTGACTGCTGGTGTGTGCTGCCTGACTGCTGGTGTGTGCTGCCTGACTGCTGGTGTGTGCTGTCTGACTGCTGGTGTGTCCTGTCTGACTGCTGGTGTGTGCTGTCTGACTGCTGGTGTGTGCTGTCTGACTGCTGGTGTGTGCTGCCTGACTGCTGCCTGACTGCTGGTGTGTGTTGCCTGACTGTGTGCTGCCTGACTGTTGGTGTGTGCTGCCTGACTGCTGGTGTGTGCTGCCTGACTGCTGGTGTGTGCTGTCTGACTGTGTGCTGCCTGACTGCTGGTGTGTGATGCCTGACTGCTGGTGTGTGCTGTCTGACTGCTGGTGTGTGTTGCCTGACTGTCTGCTGCCTGAGTTCTGGTGTGTGCTGTCTGACTGTGTGCTGCCTGACTGCTGGTGTGTGTTGCCTGACTGCTGGTGTGTGCTGTCTGACTGCTGGTGTGTGTTGCCTGACTGTGTGCTGCTTGACTGCTGGTGTGTGCTGTCTGACTGCTGGTGTGTGCTGTCTGACTGCTGGTGTGTGTTGCCTGACCGTGTGCTGCCTGACTGCTAGTGTGTGCTGTCTGACTGCTGGTGTGTGCTGCCTGACTGTGTGCTGCCTGACTGCTGGTGTGTGTTGCCTGACTGCTGGTGTGTGCTGCCTGACTGCTGGTGTGTGCTGCCTGACTGCTGGTGTGTGCTGTCTGACTGCTGGTGTGTGCTGCCTGACTGCTGGTGTGTGCTGCCTGACTGCTGGTGTGTGCTGCCTGACTGCTGGTGTGTGCTGCCTGACTGCTGGTGTGTACTGTCTGACTGCTGGTGTGTGCTGCCTGACTGCTGGTGTGTGCTGTCTGACTGCTGGTGTGTGCTGCCTGACTGCTGGTGTGTGTTGCCTGACTCCTGGTGTGTGCTGTCTGACTGTGTGCTGCCTGACTGCTGGTGTGTGCTGCCTGACTGCTGATGTGTGCTGTCTGACTGCTGGTGTGTGTTGCCTCACTGTGTGCTGCCTGAGTGCTGGTGTGTGCTGTCTGACTGTGTGCTGCCTGACTGCTAGTGTGTTGCCTGACTGCTGGTGTGTGCTGTCTGACTGCTGGTGTGTGTTGCCTGACTGTGTGCTGCCTGACTGCTGGTGTGTGCTGTCTGACTGCTGGTGTGTGCTGTCTGACTGCTGGTGTGTGTTGCCTGACTGTGTGCTGCCTGACTGCTGGTGTGTGCTGCCTGACTGCTGGTGTGTGCTGCCTGACTGCTGGTGTGTGCTGTCTGACTGTGTGCTGCCTGACTGCTGGTGTGTGTTGCCTGACTGCTGGTGTGTGCTGCCTGACTGCTGTTGGTGCTGCCTGACTGCTGGTGTGTGCTATCTGACTGCTGGTGTGTGTTGCCTGACTGCTGGTGTGTGCTGTCTGACTGTGTGCTGCCTGACTGCTGGTGTTTGCTGTCTGACTGCTGGTGTGTGCTGCCTGACTGCTGGTGTGTGCTGCCTGACTGCTGGTGTGTGCTGCCTGACTGCTGGTGTGTGATGCCTGACTGCTGGTGTGTGCTGTCTGACTGCTGGTGTGTGTTGCCTGACTGTCTGCTGCCTGAGTTCTGGTGTGTGCTGTCTGACTGTGTGCTGCCTGACTGCTGGTGTGTGTTGCCTGACTGCTGGTGTGTGCTGTCTGACTGCTGGTGTGTGTTGCCTGACTGTGTGCTGCTTGACTGCTGGTGTGTGCTGTCTGACTGCTGGTGTGTGCTGTCTGACTGCTGGTGTGTGTTGCCTGACCGTGTGCTGCCTGACTGCTAGTGTGTGCTGTCTGACTGCTGGTGTGTGCTGCCTGACTGTGTGCTGCCTGACTGCTGGTGTGTGTTGCCTGACTGCTGGTGTGTGCTGCCTGACTGCTGGTGTGTGCTGCCTGACTGCTGGTGTGTGCTGTCTGACTGCTGGTGTGTGCTGCCTGACTGCTGGTGTGTGCTGCCTGACTGCTGGTGTGTGCTGCCTGACTGCTGGTGTGTGCTGCCTG